ATCCGTGGGTACCCGACGGGTGACCCGCAAAAAAGGTGATTTGCGGGTGGTATTTTTACAAACGCTTTTTTCCGGGTTCGGTTCTGGGTAAAACAAAGATGATGCGAGTCGGGTTGCGGGTGTTGCATAATAAATATAAATAATAATAATAATTTTGTTTAATGTTTAAATCCTCAGACCTCTCCCCCGCGGGACCGAGCATAATCATAACCTCTGCAGCGCATCTATCTGCTGCTGAGCGCGCCACATTCTGAATGGCTGAGGTGAAGCTCTCTAGCGGAGAATACAGCATTTTCAATAACTCTTCGTCAAGAGCGAAATCCAACGTCTGGGAGGCTTTTGGTGTCATCCTAGATGGAGAAAATAACCAACATCCCACGCTTTTTGAGCCAAATATGCAACTGCGTGTGTTAATAATTGCACGTTTTCACCGCTCATATATATGCGGCTTCGGGTCGGGCTGCGGATCTTGTGCCGGCGGGTCGGGTCGGGTTGCGGAACTATTTGGTTATATGTGCGGGTAGCGGGGCGGGTTCGGTATTGCACGTCGCGGGTGCGGGGCGGGAGCGGGTCTTGAAAATCAGACCCGTGCAGGACTCTGGCGTACAGTACCTTAAAACTCAGGTTCCTGATGATGAGTCTCGCTTTCAGATGCGTTTTCCTAATGCCTTTGGTTTTTTCCTCATTTTGCTTTGGAGCTGGAACTGGAGCTGGAGCTGGCTCTTTAGGTGCTAAATGACAACATGAAAAAGTCATCAAGTAAACAAGGCGTGAAAGCACTCACAGTAGCTCTTATTCGGACATGTCTTTATACACACCTGTTTTCCTTTTGTCTTTTATTTTCTTCTTCGCCACCGATATTGAAAGCTTCTTTCCATCGAATTCTTTTACATCTTTCATGGCTCGCTGTGCATCTTCCTCCATGGAAAATGTGACATAGCCAAACCCCCGACATTTTTCAGTGCCTGGTTTATAATTAAAAGATAGGTTATTCGTATCGTTGCGTTTAAATAGATCTCTGACTACTTCCTACTTTGATCTCAAGTAGAATGGTTAGGGTTAGACAGTAAAAGAAAAATGAAATAGAAACATTTGAAATAGAAAATAAAACATAAGTAAAAGGAAAATATAGGCTAGATATTGACAATGAAAGATAAATGTCTGAATATTTTCTGTGAAATATCGATATGAAGGGCCAATTTGACAGTAGAACATTCTTTACATTAAGTGTTTAAGGAATAGCATATTACATACATATAAATGTTAACAGTAGGCTATGGCACAATGTGAAGACATGTTACAGAAGAATGAACAACGTATTTTGCCTCCAGCTAGAGATCATTTTCACTTTAAAAGATTTAGAACACGAATAAATGACAGTACAAATATCACCTTTGTCTCTGACCACGAAACACTGTTTAACAGGACCAATTTCAGAGAATATTTCCTCCAGTCGTTCATTTGAAGCTGAAGCTGGCAGAGAACCAACGAATAAAGTCAGCGCTGGCATGGCTCTGCTGCCGAGCTAACGCTAGCGGTTAGCAGGCTAACGTTAGCCTTTTCTGGCTCGGTAATAATTCACAAGGTATCTCTTATATGTTAACAATCCCGTATTGGGTGTTGATATCCAAATATTCGATGTCACACGGATCTGAGAGGTAAATAATGCTCAAAAACTGTAAAGCTTGAACAACACTAGCTTTCAGATCAAGTCGCATGTTTACATGCGTGGGCAGCCATCTTGGAAATGTAACGGAAATTATCTCGAAATAAGCGAAGGCATTTACTTTGGAAAGCCTGCCGCCTATCGTCCCGGAAGTTTACTCATTTGTTTATGCAAAGTTTGTTTTTCAGTGGTTCTCAACTTTTTTACTTAGGGAAAGTGGTATAAAGTAGCTCAGTACATAATCCGTGTATCTACCGTCCAATTGTTTTTCTTTATAGACACGTAAACGGAAGATCGTCTGAGAGGCGTTTTTGCTTTTTGCTTTTTACCTT